GGGGGGGGGGGGGGGAGGGGTAAAATAGCTAAGCTGAGGAATATTCAATTTCATTTGATGTGATTTATTTTATTCTGCATTCCATATGAATATAAACAATTTTCGGTAATATAACAAACATAAAATACTAAAAGGTATTTGCTGACAGTGAATCATTAATATAAAAAATCATACATAATTATTATAGAAAAATAAATTGTCAAAGTATCATATTTCATCAAACATATATAAAAATATTCGTGGGAGAAGGACTGCCATTGAGAGCAAATGATTGAAAATATGACAGCCCGAAACAAATCTTATGAAACGGATGAACATATTTATTAAGCAGAATGGACAAAATTGAAAGCATTTGTAAAATATAAGGACAAATATGATGATGAAGATAATGATGATGATAATGATACTGATAATGATGATTGTAATAAAAGAAAGATATTCAGGGATGAAAGATATTATGAAAATGCCTGAAAAGTTGACACAGAAATTTTTAAGGAGATCGTAACATACTTTTCCCTAGATCTGGACCATGTGTCTTTACGTGCAATTAATAATTTCTGGTTGAATAAGAAAGGTTGAAAGTTAAAGGAATTGCGGGTAGGGTAAGAGTGAATTGATATATTTATGATGAAAATGTTTTGAATGAAAGTGGGAGCATATTCTTCAAATATTTAAACATGAACAGTAAACTTTTTAGGGAATTTATGTCAAAGACTGTTAGGTTTTTTTGTGAGAAAAATATGAGGTATCATAAGTATGAAATATGAAGTATCATAATATGTTATATTATGCGGAATATCACTGATTGTATACAAGCGTGTTACATGGGATATATACGTGTATATTTTTTCATTTTGTATAGTATACCAACATTCCTTACAATATTCGTATATTTCAGCAAGTAAACCCTATTCCATGCCCTGGTGGATGGGGGGGGGGGGGGGGTCACTACCAGCCAGAGTTATGGCCATTGCCGCTCTCCTCTCCCCATCACCCCTCTGAAACTCAAGTGACATACCATAAGGACAAAAGTTGCATGCCCTTACTCTCTTCGAAAGATTGTTTTTACTTGCTTCCTTGCTTGTCAGTAGAAAGAAAAAGTAGAATCCCTCCTCCCTCTTTGAAAAGAATTCCTTGATCCGCCCTTGATTTCATAAGGCATGGTTCGGATGAACGAGGTTTCGAACGTTTGTCCAAAATGTGCACTTTGTGAAAAATGCACGCGAGCTCAGGCTCTAGTATTTTCGATGTCCAGAAATTTCTTTCCAAAGGACTTTTAGTTTTACCTATCTATTATTTTGACAGAAACATAACTACTTGAGGCCAAATGGTAATTACATCATCAGTAGCACACATCATGTGACTTATAAATTTGTAAACAATTTCATTGTTCCAGGTAATGCGTATCATCTTTATTGACGTACTTTATATCTATCACAAATATACGGATGATATATATTCTAAATTGTCAAGACTTGATAATTATTTATATTGTTGTAATGATACTATATAATACTGCGATATTTCAATAGCAATTTTGTTCAATCAATGCATCGGGAGACGTCCGTTCCGGCCTCGTCATTTTAAGCCGCATTGATTTAACATATTGAAAATCATCCTTGCTAGTTACTTTACCGGTTTTATTTTGTTCTTTTTCGTTGTTGTTGTAGTTGTTGTTGATGTTTTGGGGATTCGTAAGAACAATTTAAAAAAAAACTTGAAACCCCCCCCCCAAAAAAAAACCCAAACCCAAATTTAAACAAACTTGAATGAAAAAACCCAAACAATTTTTTTTCCTGTCTCTTACTATGAGCCTAGTTTTCACCTGGATGCATTAAAGGTTAAAGATGAAACAAAGTCACATAATTATGATAATGAAGGAATCACCGAAAACTCACGTTTAGAAGTTTTCTTTTTCCCAGATGATTCAAACTTTAACGCCATGAAATCGATGTCGCTTGCGTCTTCCACGTCCGTCTCCATTTTCGTCGTGATCGTTTCCGTGATGTGGGGTAACCTAAGTCTTTCTCTGTTGACGTCCTCGTCGAGTTTCTGTCTTCCGAGTTCATCTTCTGACGATGTTAATTCGGGATTGGAGGAGGGTTTCCACATTCCGCCTACAACGAGTGCTAGAAATACAGCAATTGGCAGATGGTCATCGCCATCGTCTTCATTTCTTGAACTTTGTTTTTGTTGCTTGAAAGCAGAGTGATCAGCATCAAATGTTCCGTAGTCGATCAACTGGTCAGCTTCCTTAGAATATGGATCCATGTTCGATAATTCGATTGGAGCTACAATCATAATGTGCCTTGGATGTGTCCAGACCGAGTTGACAATGCTAGAGTACCGAGCGAACTGGCGATTTTAAAGAGCAAATAAGGAAGTTCCATTGAAAAACTATGTGTAAGCAAAACTTTAAACTAAGTGGAGACGAAGTGGTTTGTTTAAGTGCAAATGGTTAATATTTAAAAAGCCGAAACTGTTCTCAGCTCAAAATAGAATTTTATAAAACAAGGATGTTAGCCTATAGCAACTGTTTGCAAAGATTTCTATTTATCTTTGCCTATCTCTCTCCCTGTCCTAAGCACCCTCCCCACTTCTTTCTTTTTCTCTGCTCTCGCTCTTTCTTTCTCTCTCTCTCTCTTTCTCTTTCGATCTTCAGAAGAGACATTAACCATGCTAAATAATGAGACAGAATGTCGGGAAGCCATACCAGCTACTGTATTTAATCAAAACTATTCCCAAAGCTATGCCATCAGGACAAAGATAAAAGCCATTCCACTACAATCAATGTTTTAAAAGAAATCATACTTCCAGGATATTTTTTCCTCTGCTCTACAAAAGTTCTATGTTGCAGCGTCCCCACCCGACCCCCTAACACAAACGGGAATAAAGTTGTTTATTCATTTCTGTATTATTCACTGCAATGCAACTAATAAATCTCTAGACCTGTATGAAATAAATTGTCTTTGCTTGTCTTCATTAAGTACTTCTGCCCTTGTACATCGGAGAGTGTGTTTAGAAGAAAAAAGAGCAGCGAAAACAAAATTTCAGAAGGCACGATGGTTCAATGATAGAGCAGTGGTCTCGTAACCGGCAGTCCCGGGTTTGAAACCAAGCCCATGCGCCAGTGCCCTTGATAAGGGCATTAATCCTCATTACCAAGTCCTTCGGAGGGAACTGAAAGCCGTCGGTCCCCTGGTTGTTTACTTACAAACATTCCTGCTTTCTTGGCAGTCAGGTAAAATAATCAAACAAACAAACAAAAACGTCAAGCTTATTTTTAGATCGGTAAGAGTTATGCCTTTCTTCAACTTTCGTTTATTTTCTTATATGCCTAAACTACTGGAGACGTGATTATTATAAGCATATAATCCAAACAACGTAATTCAATATTATCTGCCTTTTCCTAACCACTTGGTTCTTTAAAGATCATATTGTTGGTTATGACTGGACGTATAGAAGATTAGTGACTCAGACCCGCGGGTGAAGAGAGAAACTTTTATTCCACGATCTTACAAACTTTTGTTCGATCAGGAGACAGTTTTAACAACAGGTAAAACAGTCAATAGTTATGTTATCAATTTATGTGTGTGTGCGTGCGTGTATGTGTGTGTTTGACAGTGAAATAGTTTGTAAAAGTGTTTGTGCATGTGAGAGCAGACAGAGATAGGGAGAGAGAGAGGGTGTATAGTGTGTGTGTGGGTTAGAGAGAGAGAGAGAGAGAGAGAGCGTGTGTTTAAAGAGAGAGAGAGAGAGAGAGAGAGAGGGTGAAAATGTGTGCGTGTGTGCGTCAGAGAAAGAAAGAGGGTAAAAGTATGTGTGTGTGTGTGTGAGAGGATGAGAAGGAGAGGGTGAGTGTATGTGTGTGTGTGGGTGAGAGAGAGAGAGAGAGAGAGCGTGTGTTTAAAAGAGAGAGAGAGAGGGTGAAAATGTGTGCGTGTTTGTCAGAGAAAGAAAGAGGGTAAAAGTGTGTGTATGTGTTTGTGTATGAGAGAGAAAGAGAGAGAGAGAGAGAGAAAGTATGTGTGTGTGTGTGTGTGTGTACGTGTGAGAGGGGGCGAAGTAAGAGAGGGTGAAAGTGTGTGTGGGTGATACGTTACTAACTATGGATCTTTTGGCATGTTTGGGGAGACTTCTCTTGAATCTTGCATTGATTAACAAACGAGACAAAATTTAGAAAGTTCAACCCTAAATTACATTTTAATTATCTAATCGAGTACAATATAAGTACAGTAGACATTTTGATCCCTCGTTTTTTCTTTTTCTAACTTTACTCACGATGGCACCTAGGTATAGGAATCTGTTTCCGGTGTCCGTAACTGCCACTGGTTTGTATTTTTATCCTTGCTTTTTTATCTTGAATTTTTTCAAACGTTAATTACGAACGGATAATCCGTTGATATAACAAGATGAAACAATGTTAGCCGTCTTTATTTATCAATCAATTAATTTACTTACGTATTTATTCTTATTAAAAAAAATTGACCAGGTATCCAAATACACCTGGGTTGAGTGTAGCAAATGAACTTTAATTTAAGCAATTTTAGTCTGTAATGTGGCTGTGCCTCGTATCATTTGCCATGTGACCCTCACCCCTGCAATTTGTCCACGTAACCACAGCACCTCTCTCTGGCTATAGTAGTTGCAGGATTAGATAACGTCAGAGCTCCATATATACAGGGTAAACAAAATGACGCAATTTCTCGCAACCATTGTCCAGGGAAGTCCCAAGATTATCATAAAGGTTTATCCAAACAAAAATATTACACAAGGTATTGTCACCTCTGTAACTCTAATAATAAACTGTTTACTCACATTTTTTCTTTTTTAGGGTTGCAGCATCCAGACCAATATCATGGTCTCTGTTGATTTTAAGTTCTGACTTCCTTTCAATCTGATAGCGTGTAATATAGTAACTGCGGTTTTGATGCGAGTTAGTTTGGCAATGAAACTTCCTTATTTGCTCATTAAAATCGGCAGCTGGCTCAGTACTCTAGCAATCCAAAACTCGCTCTGAAAACATTCAAGGCACACTACGATTCTTCTCTCCAATTATCTAACATGGATCTATATTCTAGGGAAACCGACCAGTTGGTCGACTATGGAACATTTGTTGCCGATCACTCTACTTTCAAGCAACAAAAGCAAAGAAATGGAGACGAGGATAATGACGATGGAAATGATGATCTGCCAATTGCTGTATTTCTAGCACTCGTTGTAGGCGGAATGTGGAAACCCTCCTCCCATCCCGAGTTAACATCGTTAGAAGATGACCTCGGACGACAGAAACACAACGAGGACGTCAACAGAGAAAGACTTGAGTTACCCGACATCACGGAAACGATCACGACGAAAATGCAGACGGACGTGGAAGACGCAAGCGACATCGATTTCATGGCGTTAAAGTTTGAACCTTCTGGGAAAAAGAAAACTTCTAAACGTGAGTTTTGGTTGATCCATTTTTTGTTATAATAACGTGACTTTGTTTTCTTTTACCTTTAATGGACTAGGTAAAAGTAACAAATTCCTTTTGTAATTAAAAAAAAAATTGTTTGTTGCAATTCTTTTTCCTTCTCTCTTTCCCTCAAGCGAGGTTTTTTATTTTCATAATTTCAATACATATTCACATTCCCAGCTTAGTATTAATTTTATTGCTGACACATTCATTCCTTTAAAACATTCTCAGCAATGACTTAAATAGAAAAATCAATGCCTGAGGGTAAATAACAGAATCATTGACAATCTTTTTAACGTAACATTCATGAATTGCATATTGCGCAGATAAAAAGCAAGAAAAGAACTTTAGAAAGAGGGTAATGACATGCACCCTTTGGTGTTATATCCTTTTAATATGTCACTTGAGTTTCAGAGGTGTGGTGGGGAGGGGGGGGGGGGGCATAAACATCAATTGTGTCCCCCCCGCATCCGCCAGTGCATAAAATAGGTTTTACTTGCTGAAATAAACTATTTTTTAGGAATGTTGGTATATTATAGAAAATAAAAAGCTACTTTATGTCCCGCTTGTTTATAATATTTCATTGATATTACCGTACATAAAAAAGTATAACTACATTTAATTATTACAAAAGAAAGCCCTTAGCGTATGCACTAGTCCACTATAATTCTTATACACAAGTCCATTATTTTTGCAAATGAAAACCTTATAAGTAATACAAAGCTTTTGATATGGGGTCATAAATTTGGTTCAAAAGAACATACTGCGATTTACAATATTCATTTATCGTTGTCGCGGTTGAAATCGAGTCTAAAGTGATGAAATTGTCCATAATAAACTATTTATGTTGTATAGCTGTTATGTTATGTTATTATCAGAATATGCTATCTCTCCGTAAAATTCCTGTGTCAACCTTTCAGTCTTTGTCATAATATTTTTTCTTTTTTAATCCCTGTATATATTTCGTTTATTTTAATCTTCCTAATCATCATCAGAATCATGATCATTATCCCTATATTTTACACATGGCTTTTAATTATTTGTCCATTCTGCTTGATAAATTTGACTTGATTTAATTTATTGATTACTGCATGTTTTTATACAATAATAATCAGTAAAAATAAGAACAGTTTGTACATAGTGGTAAAATTTTCCGAATCGCAATCTTGGGAACGATTGACATAATAGCAAATACAAAAGTGCTGCAGCGTGAGCATGCGCTTGTAGTGCATGCAGCTCTTTAACTTATGATTACAACGACAGCAAAATATGATGACATAAAACAGGCAAAAAACAACAGGAATTCAATGGCAAGAAATGTCAAAAACTCACTTGCTCCAGGAGACAGGGAGAAAGAGAGAGAGAGAGAGAGAGAGAGAGAGAGGTGGATGGATAGAGGAACAATTGTTTTGCGGCTACTCTTTTTAAATGCTAAGGTATACAGAAATGTACATGTTATTCAACTACTGAGAGGTTTTTGTTGCGTTTTAAGAAAAGGATTGTGTATGTGAAGTAACTGCCTCGGTTATTACCAAGTGTATAACAATGACATGAGAACAATGACTGGTTTACATGATGACACGTATTCATTACGGTAACATAGAATTGAAAAAAAAATTGTTCATCCGTTTCATGAGGTTTTGGGGGGCTATCATATTTTCAAGCATTTTGCCCTCAATGGCAGTCCTTCTTCCGCAAATAATTTTCATAAAATTTGATGAAATATGATGCTTTGACAATTCTTTCTTCCTTTTTTTTCTTTAATAATTATGAATAATTTTTAATATTCATGATTCATTGTAAAAAATACCTTTCAGTATTTTAAGTTTGTTATGTTGAAATGTTGAAGAAAATGAATCACATCAAATAAGAAAGAATATTCCTCAGCTTAGCTATTTTATCCCCTCTTTTCCTCTGAAACCGAAACCCAATTATCCATTGTCTCGAAATGCAGCCAGGCAGTGTTTGATCTAAACGGAGAATACCTTTTATAATTTTAAGCGACAAAAAATGTCAGCAATTAATCAGACAAATTACTCTATACTGAGTTTCGCTTTCATTTACACTTGTTGGCAATCCCGTGTGAAGAGTCTCGTACTACAAGATCTTTCTTTGTTTAAACAAGAAAACAAAACATTAAGTATTTGAAGATGACAAGTTTTCACTTCCGTTAGTCAAGTGTCACACACAATCAATGTCTAATTTTGGATGCATTAGATATTCGTGTAGACCTATGTCGCAATTGGAATTGCCCTTCACTCTGCAATCAAACCTTCATCAACTTATAAATTGACTTTTAGATATATCTTAATGATACGTATAACAACCATGTATCTTTGTATTGTCAATGGGATGGGGTGGGGGCACTGTTCTCATGGGGGCGGGGGGAAGGGGGGGGGGAGGTGTTGAGTGACACACGATTGTACAAGGTCAACATTAATACCGAGGGATGGGAGGGGGTCATGTCTGTTTCTTTTTGTATTCAATTTTTATTTATTAATTATATTTATTACATTAGTCTATTTATTTACTTCTCTACCCCTTTTTCTTTTGAAATTCATTGATAGGCCTATATTGTTTTATTTAATACTTATAAAACTGACACATGGACAAACACATTTGTTTAGTAACTTCGTTGTACTTTAAGCAAAAGAGCAGAAAGCTTCCTTTTGGGATCGGCCATTAAACTTTTGATCAATTCCTTCATTATTCTATGTTTCAACATTTAATTTATAGGGGGCTGGTGGAATGTTCTCCTCGAATCAGCTTCTCTTCTCTACCTTTCTACCCTGACCATGCTTCTCGTGGTTGATGGTGGCACGTATTTATACAACTTCTGGGGTGTCTCCAGTGGAATGCTCTACATGATCTCCTACGTCACTTTTACTCTTCCAATTCTCTTCGGTCCATTATATGCCTTGGTGATTCGTCTCTCAGCGCTCCTACCAGGTCTTGATGGAATGCACAGCTGTCCTCTTGACATGGCATATGTGCTACGGAGAGTCCGTGTCCTACGCTCTCCCAGGAATCGCCATCGCTTGAAGCCGTTGTTCATGTTGATGTTCATCATTTGGCCGTTGGCTCAGGCCATCTTAAGAGCAATATCAGGGATGGTCATCCATCATAAATGCCATCTTGATTACTTTCTCTTCAGCGACATTTCCTCGGCATGGGGACTGGTAGCATACGGTCTCTTCTGGTATCTAATCTACATCGAGCGCGCGTCGCTTCATCACGACCTCAATCGCGTGGTGAACAATGTACAACGCGCGTCATTGACAGGAGATGTTGACGCAGCGCGTTGTGAGATACGACGCGTACACCGTGACTACCTCATTCTACGAGAGCTGATGGGTGTCTTGATGGCTATTACCATGATAACGACCTCTTGGGGTCTCCTGACGACACTCTCCTGGGACTACGGTATCTCCGGACAGACCCTCCAAGATACCTCTGACAGGCAGGCCAAGCTGTTTCTAGACATAACCATCTGGTCAGAGAAGATTATGTTCATTGTATACCCTTGCATATCTCTCGGTGGCATCAATCTTGAATACCTATGGCAGAGGTTCTCCCACGCCCTTGAAAGGATTCAGTCCTTCCAACACCGCCCTTTCTGGGTGGCTGTTCAGCTACATACAGCAAACATCGATCATATTGGAAGTCCAGAGCTCAAATGGACACTTGTCTTTGCTTTGATTGGACCCTATCTGACTCTTCAGTCTTCATGGTCTAGGATGAATGTCGATCAGAAAGTCGATTTCTGGAATGGTCCTTTTCCGAGCAATTGTTCAGAGAGTTAGACCTTCTCTCTTTCTCTCTGTCTCTGTCCGTTTCTCTTCCTCATTCTCCACCAGTATATGACCTCTTCTGTATATTACAACACGTCGTTCATTAGGAACGCTCAGGAGGCACTATCGTCCTCATGAAATCTTCGAATAATTATAGAAGTGCTTCAAACAACGTTGGTAACGGATTTGACTATGTATACAATGTGATACATATAACCAAGGAGAACTGTACATTCTAAGCAATTTTGTATATAGTGATTAATTGATCATCTCGATAGCCAAGGTAGAACCTGGTGTTTATCAAACATTTTGTAAATTTTAAAAATATCTTATAGGTGATTTTTAATGTTTACAGAAAACATTGAATTGAAACGAATCAGTGACTCACCAATATGTTGTTAAAGTGCATGTACTCAATTTAGTTCAATGTAAATCTAGAATCATGTGAAACTTGTTACCTTTTGAAAGTATTGAATTTATATCTTTCTTCGTCATGTTAAAGTGATAGTTGTGTTACCTAGTTGAGAATAGAATACTTGTGTACCACCACAAATATTAGATATTTTGAAAAATTTGAAAAAAACGTTGAAAAAACTAAATAACGCCTTTTACGTTGTATTGCAGCCAATGCCGATGTTGGCTTTTTTGTTGAAATGTTCGTGTTGCTTATATTACTTATATATTTTTAATTAAATAATTATGTAACGGTCAGTGTGATTTTTTTTAAAGTGGAGCTGAATTGGTATGATCGTATTAGCTATATTTCACACATTTTGGGGTCTAAAATTACCTTCATAGCAATTTTAGGTTCTAAAAGGGCACTATAAATGTCATAGATAAGAATAAGAGCAATAACCATGCACTTTGAAGGCATTTGTGGTCTGAAAACAGAACTCATCTATCCCTTCAAGAGCAGTAGTATGCATTGTGTTGAATAGAAGTTCACCATGTTAGTAGGAAATTGGAAGAGCTAGTGAAATAGTGGCTGGTTTTATCGATTAAACAGCCAAGGGTATCATTTTAAACTATGTATATGAGAAGAAAAAAAAAGATTCTCCCTTTTCATTTTCGACTTGAGATCGAAAATATATTTGTATCAATTGCTGTTGAGTAGCAAATATTTCTCCACTTTAACTAGGATCATGTCACCCATGTCTTTGCCTGGCGATTGGGATGTCGATATAAAGCCATCGTAGTTCCGAAGACGCATCACAACGCAGTTCAGTTCCGCCTGTCATCGAGAACCAAGGAAATGTGTAAGCCTAGTAGTTATAGAAAGCACGTCGAATACAAACAAATCAGACCGTTCCCCTATTTCTCTTTGACTATTTCAGGATATTAGTAATGTTACCCAAATTTGTGACTTCATATAGAAGGGCCATTTCAAGGTATCTTGTCCATACGTTACCAACTAACAGGTAAAAGGTTAATCTACACCCGATGGCGGTAGCCTACTAATTTGTTAGCATTACTATAGCTACATGTATGAAGATCTTATTAAGGAAACTAATCGTGTTAATGTTTAAGAATTATTTTTGTTACATAATAGGACACTGAATGTTCAAATACCTTGGACCTAACTTTGTACTAAATTCTCACTATGACTTAGGCTGTTCTGATTTAGGTGAGAAAATAAACATGTTATCCTTTCAAAATAAAACTGTCGTTATTCTTTTTGCCTGCTTATAATATAGACTTTTAAAGGAGAAAATAGGAAACGGAGAGGCTAACAAAGAAGTATACAGAGAGAGAGAGTGAAAGTGTGTGGGTTGGTGTGTGTGAGAGAGAGAGTGAAAGTGTGTGGGTTGGTGTGTGTGAGAGAGAGAGAGAGAGAGAGAGAGAGAGAGAAAGAAAGAGATAGTGTGTGTGAACGTGCATGTGTATGTGTGTATGAGAGAGAGAGAGAGAGAGGGTGAAAGTATGTGTTATGAGAGTGAGTGTATGTATAAAAGTGTGTGTGTATGTGAAAAGGAGAGGGTTAAAGTATGAATTTTGAAAATGAGAGAATGTGGAAAAGTGTGTGTGTGTGTGTTTGTGGGTGGAGGAGAGAAACAGAGAGAGAGAGAGAGAGAGAGAGTGTGTAAAGTGTGTATGTGTGTGAGAGAGAGAGAAAGAAAGAGATGATGAAAGTGTGTTGGGGGAGAGCAGAGAGTGAGAGAGCGTGTGCGTTTGTGTGTTGAGAGAGAGAAAGAGAGAGAGAGAGAGAGAGGGGTGTGTGTGTGCGTGTCAGAGTGAGATAGTGTGTATCAGAGCAAGAAGAGAGAGAGGATGTATGTGTGTGTGTGCGTGTGCGAAAGAGAGAGAGAGAGTGAAAGCGTGAGGGAGAGAGACAGAGAGAGTGTAAAAGTGTGTGTGTGTGTGTGTGTGTGAGAGAGACAAAGGGTGAAAGTGTGTAAGAGAGAGAGAGAGAGAGTGAGAGAGTAAAAGAAAGAGAGAGCGAAAGAGACAGAGAAGGATGAATAGAAACAAACACTAACGTTCAGACAATTATAATGATTATCACAAAGCAGGTAAACATAAGAAGGATAGGGAGGACGAAAAAAGTGCGTTAAACTTTTAATGGGAAAAAGGAGTTGACAAATGCAGGCGGAGGGGGGGGGGGGTGTCAACATGGGGGATAGGTAATCGCCCCATATCCGCCTTTCACTTTCATGTTCTCATTTACTTTCATGAAAAAACAGTTAACACGATCGAGAAGACTTTCAAGAAAAAAGTCAAGAGATCAAATATAATACCCCAATCTTTACGCTACGGAAACTTAGTACGTAAATGTCATTCTCACATATTTAAAAATGAGACGAAAGCTATTGAGATTGATTTTCAATTCCTTGCCATCGAGTTAGTTATATGGTGGTAAAATGGAACTGCTCGGAATTAAATACTCTTTAGTTACTGAGAATGCGTGAAATGAAAATCAAAGTCAACTTTACGAACGTCATGATAGGCCAGCGCAAGAAGCTTTTAAGATTCGTCATCCTTGATCTTACATTCCAAATAGGTGGTAGTATGTTTGTGAGGAGGATGGAAGTCGCCTATGAGAGATTGTAAGAAAGATGTGCGATTACACAGTGACCCCCAACTTTTACAAGTGCCCCCAAAATGCTATTTTTTTTTTAGATAGGAAGAGTGCCCCCATTTCCCTTTTACACTTACCGCTTACCCTTTTCAAGTAGTGCCCCTGCCTCTTCAAATAAATATTCCTTTTCACCTCTGATATGGGCCCCTTTTATTTATTAAGTAAAAAAAAAAATCATTTCCATAGCTGTGTAATTTTGACTGAAGCATCCGCTATTCTTGCACAGGTAAACCACTTTTAGCGATGTAAAGTTAGCTTGAAGTCAAAAACCTAATCGACACTTAGCTTCAAATTCATTGAAGACAGCAACTGTACAACGTTTCATTTTATTTTCACTTTACTCTTGTTTTTCCTCTCAAAGGTAATACAAAGTTTTGGGAAATTTGAAAATTTGGTGGATAGTGATTCCTTACAATTTTGATATATTTGGATGCCCCTGTGGATGTATTATAAGCACTAGAAAATTTAGCCCCTAAAACACTTCTGCTTTCGAGAATAATTGATTATAAAAATTTACCGGTGCTCCCGGTAAATTTTGATGAATTTCAAATAGCGCCTACGGCCGTATAATGGTACCTGCGACCATGAAAATCTCAGAATGTGTAGTTGTGATATATAATTTTCCAACGGGAATAGCTAATCGGTCGATTTTAGTCAAGAAACATTGTTTTATGGCTTAATTAATATCTTGACCTTGAGAGGGAGCTATACAACATAAAGAGTGTATTATTTTCAATTTCGTAACTTTAGACTCGATTTCAACGGCGACAACGATCAATGAATTGTTAACGATCGCATATGCTTCCAATATGTTAATTTGAACCAAATTCATGATCCCATACCAAAACTTTGTATTACCTTTAACATTTTCCGCGATATACAGAAGTCCGTAATGAATACAAGCAAAGACAATCCATTTCGAATTGGTCCTTGGACTCATAGGTTGCTTTGCAGTGACTAATACAAAAATGGATAATCCACTTTATTCCCGCTTGTGTCAGGGTGCAAAGGGGAGGGGGGTAGAGATGCTGCAATATAGACATTTTGTAGAGCAGAAAACAAATCGCCTGGAAGTACCTTTACTTTTAAAACATTGATCTGTAGGGAAATGGCATTCATTTTTTTCCTGATGGCATAACTTTGGACATAATTTTGAAGAGATGCTGCAATATAGCCTTTTTGTAGAGCAGAAAAAAAAAAATCTCCTGGAAGTACGTTTACTTTTAAAACATTGATCTGTAGGGAAATGGCTTTCATTTTTTTTCCTGATGGCATAACTTTAGACATAATTTTGAAGAAAGATATTAGCTGGTCTGGCTTTCTCGTTATTCTGTCTCATCAGTTTACATGGTTGATGTATCTTCTGACGATCAACAGAGAGACAGAGAGAGAGAAGCGAGAGTAGAGAGAAAGAGAGGAATGGGGAGGGTGCATTGGACAGGGAGGGAGAGAGAGAGAGAGAGAGAGGGGGGGGGGAAAGATTTCAAACAGGTGGTCAAGGCTAACATCCTTGTTTGACAAGAAATGTTTATACAAAATTCTATTTTGAGCTAAGCAAATATAAAACACAGAGGCCACTTACAGTTTCGATGTTTTTAATATCAAACATCTGCACTTTAACAAATCACCTTGTCTTACCAAAAATTGATCTTTTGGCATATTTAGGGAGATATTTCGTGAATGTTGCATTGATTAACAAAAAGAGTAAACGAGTAAAATAAAAGTAGAGTGGAAATGTTGATGTCTCGTTTCACTTTTCGAAATTAGCTAACGAAAGCACCTAGGTATACAAATTTGTTCCCAGTATCTGTAACTGTCACTGGTTTGTATTTTTATCCCTGCTTTTTATGTCGAATTAAGTCATACATTAATTACGAACGGATACTCTATCAACAAGATGATACAATGTCAGCCGTCTTTATTTATTCATCGATCGATATATACCCATGTATGTATTCTTATTTATTTATTTCAACAAGGTATCCAAATACACCACGGTTGAGTGTAGGAAATAAGATATAAATTAGGCAATTTTAGTTAGTGATGTGGCAGTGTCTCGAACCCCTTGCCATGTGACCCACTCTCTAGCAACTTGTCCACGAGACCACAGCACCTCTGTCTGGCTATAGAAGTGGCAGGATTAAATAAAGTCTCAGCTCTAAATGACGGTAAAAAATGAAGCAATATCTTTCAATCATTGTCAAGGGAAGTCCCTAGATTTTCATGGCTAGTCTACATTCCAAACACAAAGATTACACAAGGTATTGTCACCTCTGTAACTTGAATCGACAAACTGTTAGCACACAATTTTATTTTATGGTTGGAGTCCCCAGACCAATATTATGGTCTTACTTCCTCTCTATCTGAAAGCGTATAATAGAGTAACTGCAGTTTTGAGGCGCATTACTTTGTCAATGTAACTTCCTTATTTGCTCATTAAAATCTGCAGCTCGCTCGGTACTCCAGCATTCTCAACTCGCTCTGCAAACATTCAAGGCACACTAAAAGGCTAGCTCCACTCCAA